TCTTTATAAAACTTGTGCTCCAGGTCCTGCACCACATTTGGTGCTATTTCTCTTTCTGCCATCCAACTTAGTGCCATCCACAAACTGATTGAGGAATCCCCACATCCAGACTCAAATAACAGAGATGTTAAACAGGACTGGCATCAGCTGTGCCCTGGGACATGTGTCCACCCAGAGTGACAGCCATGGATGTAACTCCATTCCTCACCACCTTCTAGGCCCGAACATCCAGCCACTTTTTATCCATGAACAATGCACCAGTCCAAGCCATGTGCAGCTAGATTATGCAGGAGAATGCTCTGGGAAAGGGTGTCAAAGACTCAAGTCTGTGTAGGCACACCCACAGCCTTTCCCTCACCCTCTAGGTGGGCCATGCTGTCCTAGAAGAAGATCAGGTTGTTCAAGCAGCCTCTCACAAACCCGTGCTGGCTGTGCCTGGTCCCCTGGCTGTGCTGTCCGTGCAGGGTGGTGGCACTTGAGCTGATCTGCTCCATGGCCTTCCCCAAAACCAAGGCCAGGCTGACAGGCCTGCACTTCCCTGGATCCACCTTCCCATAGATGGATGTCACATTTGTCAGCCTTCAGCATTAAGTACCTCAGCCTTTCCCTCATCCTTCATTGTTTTTTTTCCTGCATCAAGTAAAGGATGGAGATTCTCCTAAACTTTCTTTTTACTGATGGTGGATTTATACAACTACTTTTTAATTGTCCTTTACAACAGTAGCCAAATGAAGTTCTATTTGGGCTTTACCCCTTTTAATTTTCTCCCTGCATGACCTCATAACATCCTTGTAGTATTCCTGAGTAGCCTGACCCTTCTCAAAAAGCTCATAAACTCGTTTTTTTATGCACCAAAGTTCAGCTAAAAATCTCTGTTCAGCCAAGCCAATCTTCTTCCACACTGACTCACCTTTCAGCACCTGGGGTCAGCCTGCTCCTGTACCTTTAAGATTTCCTTCCTGAAGAATGTCCAGCCTTCCTGGACCATTTTGACCTTCAGGGCTTCCTCCTGAATGACACTGTCAACCAGCCCCTAGCAGGACAAAATCTTCCCTCTAGAAGCCCAGGATGGCAATTCTGCTGTCTTACTTCTCCTAGACCTGCTCCTTATTTCTCCTAGAATCAAAAAACTCTATCATATCATGGCTGTTTTACTCTTTTATTAGTTTCTTTGTGTTTTATAATTTGATAGATGTTGGTGACTTTCCCTGTTTTTTGTGCTTCTGAGCCTCTTGAAACATAAACCTGCTGGTATGGAAGATACATAATGATAAGATTAAGAGCAATGTTTTCCTCTTTACTTTTTTAATAAAAGTATTTTATTAAAATAATTTTTAAATTAAATTGTAAATTGCATGTTTCCAACTTTTGCTACTGCAAATGACTGTGTTGACACTATTATCAAAATGTGTTCATGAAGAAGGTTATGGTGGGCTGTAGTGTAAAGGTGGCATCAGAAGAATATAAACATCTCATGAAGAAAGCATTTAAGCCTTGAAAAATTCATCTGTATATGGCATGACAACTAATGCAGACCAAAAGAACTGCAAATTCATTCTTAAATAAGAATGCCTGTAACTTTATCTGAGTATCTGAGCAAAAAGTTTTGCAAATCACTAACAGAGTGCAATGAGTTATGCCTGTTTACTTCTGTGAGTAAGGACTTTGTCTAGTATTAGGTGTTAGCAGGATTGGGCTAACCTAGCTCCTCATGGTAGCAAAGCATGCTTGCTGCAAGCCACTAGCAGTCAAAAATGAGCAACTGCCAGCATCTGGGTGAGGTTTGGCTCTCCTGTGCAGCAAGGAATTCAGAGGACATTGCTATTTTTTGATCATGGAAGGAACCAGATCAGGTTTTAACTTGACTGCAAATTAAGAGCTCACTGGGCATAAGAAGAATACTCCTGCACAGAGCACAAGGAGGCTGAGCAAGAAGAAGCCTGTGTGTCTGATCTTGCAAGGAGCCTATTAATGGAGTCATTAAAAAAGGACCTGTTCTGCTATTGGTGAAGTGTTGCCCATGAACTTATGGGCTGTATCAGTGCAGCATGTGGTTCTCTGCCCAAAGGCAGCTTAGCCTGGGAGCTTGACTTCTGTGCAAGGGTTTCACTTCCAATAAAAATCAGCCTGTCTGCCCAGTTACTCTGGCTGTCTGCAGTAACCCCTGGCCAACCCACAAGGATTTGGGCTATCCAGCAGATCATTTACTCCCGTCTTTGCTACTGTGCAACCTCACAGATGGCAAAGTAAGGAGATCCAGCTGTTGAAGCCAGCTGTTGAAAACCACCTCTGATGCCTCCAGATGCATGCGATATTGACTCCTTTTCTGGGAGTCATGCCACGGGGCTTGGCTCAGCCAGAATTTCCTGCTTCTTGCCTGTTTTCTCCAGCTCTGTGCTGGAAATCCCCACTCAGTTCTCCTCTCCCCCAGCCCGTGCCCCCAGGGCCAGCATGCACCCATCTGCCCTGGGTGATCCCTTCTACCCTGGCTGTTCCACACTCCTGTGCACAGGGGCTGCAGACTCGTGGCTGTTTGCTCTGTGTGTGTTTGGGTTTGTAGACGGCTGATCCATCTCTCAGAAGGAAGCGTGGGAGAACCTGACTGGCTAGGAGCTGCAGTGACTTGGAATCCATCAAACATGGAATCCTTACATCTTGTTTTCTTGTCCACTTCCACCTGTTTTGTTCACTGGATGGTTTTCTGGGCAGTGAGAAGGCCCTCTCTTAACTAGATGTCTTCCTGCATGTCCATCTCTTACAGCCATAGAAATACTTCTAATAAAAATTGTTCCTGATACTCCAATATGTCCAGCATAAAATGCTGAGAATCTGTGAAGCTATCAATAAATTGTAAGATTTAAATGTAACAAGAATCCATTCAGGTAATTTTATTTGCTGAATAGTTGCAAGGTGTGTGAAGTAGATTCTGATCATATGTCACTTCTTAATCCTGAAGTCTTAAGGGATAAAGACTTTTATAGAAAGAGAAAATAGATATTTTGGAACTAACTACTGATTCCAGCAGAGTAAGCTTTTAGAAAGTCACAAGTGACTATGAGACACAAAACAAAAAATTAAATATGGGGGATTCTGAAATGTGGCTGCAAATCTTCCAAGTAAGTTCAGTGAGAAGAACAGGTTCCTTATTTGGTTAATCTTTTCAAGCTTAAGACAAGAACTGACAAAATTGATGCTTTTTTCTCATAAATACTTAAAATATTTATTATTTGTCTAAAGCAAAAGAATTTTATTTTGACTATTAGATTTTTAAACTCTCGGTAAAAAGGAAAAAAAAACCCTAAAGCAAACTTAACCTAGAAAAAAGTCAAGTCAAACTTTTAAAATACAGACAAAAATTTGTTTGATGGAAAGCGCCTTTGATCAAAAATGTTTAGGGAAGTTTTGTTCCACCTGGTAGACAAGTAAAGCAGACATGTACTTGTTATTCCTCTTATGCTTACATGTCAGACTGGGCCCTATTGTTCTCTATATAAGGTGTAAGCACACCTGTATATGTAAAATGCAGGGCAGCAAAATATTTGTGAAATGCTGCTGGTGATTGGGGAGTATGCAGAATGAATTGGATTTATGCAAAATGATGGTCATTATAATAATCTCCATGTGTTCATGCCTGCATTTATTTTATTTAACTTTCTTAAAAGTTTTACAATTCATTTTCAAAGAGTTAAAGGTAAGAACTGAGAAAATACAAGCTGTCTCTACGTTTACCATTGAAGCCATGTTACATTTGCTTTTTCAGTGTGAGAAAAACATTGGCATCAATTACATTTTCATAAGCTTTAAACCTTTCTGAGATATGCAGAAAACAGAAAGCCTGTGCAGCCTTATCGTTCCTGAAGGTTATTGTGTGCAAAGAAAGCCAGTAGTTTGGGCATGAGCCTCAATGTTCCCAATTCCAAGCATCAGCAGCTGGTTGGTTGTGGGAGGCCACAGACATGCTCTGTTGCAAGACTCACTTTCCTCTCAAAGCCTCCCTTTTGGTAATCCACTGCAGCTGATGGAAAAGGAGATTTTTAAATGGTCTGCTTAACAAAATATGAGGAAAGAAAAGGGCAGCTTTTCCTTACCTTTGCTTAAAAGTGGAAATTACATGAGACGGATGAAATTGCAGGGCAGAGAAGAGTCAAAATGTTTCCACCATCATTTTATATGCAGGAGTGAGGGATGGAGAGGACCAGGGACATGCATGGTCCTCAGCTACACCTAGCCCAATGGGGTTGCAAATATGGGGGAAATAGTTTATAGGGTCAGTCAACAGACTGCTGGCCACCTCTAGTGGTCACAGGTAATTCATCCTTTCTAGAACCATGATCTTGATATGTCTGAAGGCATTTGGCAATGGCTTACTCTCTGAAATCTGGGAAAGACCCTAAGTGCCTTTCTCAGGGAGGCATTAGCAGTGCTTCTTCCCCGCTGGGACAGCCCCTGTGCTTGGTTTCTCCTCAGTCAAGAGCAGAAACAGTCATTAAAGTTACAGCACTCATGAGTTGGATGGGAATAAGAGTGAATTCTCAAAGAAGCCAGAGAAGTGTGCCATTTCCACCCTCTACATTGCTCTCAGAGGGAATACTGCAAACAGCCTGCAGTATGGAAACAGCAAGGTGGACAGACATCTGGAGACATGTTCAATAAAAAAACAGGCATTCATTTAAGAGATTCTGCCAGAGTGCATCAACAAGACTGACTGCACTTAAAAGGAAAAAAATAAAAGGGGAAAAAGAAAGGCAAAAAGATAAAGAGTCCATTCCCAGTCTGTGGAAAAGTAGGATGGTCTGAAAGGAATTGTCAACTTTGGTGAGAAAAAGAGCTGCACACAAGAAAAATGTTACTTTAAAAAACACAACCACATGATGTCGGGTACGCTTAATGGAGGGAAGGACTATATTAATCTGTTTGAATTGCTAATTGGGGATTTAGTTGGCTAGATTGGGGGTTATAAGATTAAGGCTTTTATTCTGTGTTTTTGTTCTTTTCCAAAGGTAGGAATCCTCTATAGATCCCCGCTCTTGGGAATCTAATGCCCTCAAATGCACAACTCGGCAGCCGACGAGCAAGCTGATAAAGCATTCCTTGCAGAGACTTAATGGGTACATTCTGTATCTCCATCTGCATCTTTCTGTCTGCCTTTTATTTTTTTTTCCCTTAGCATGCTTGGAGGAAGGTAAGCAAACAAAACAAACTGAAAGAACTACCTCTTCCCTTCATGTTTATAGCTGCTTTTCCAGAAGTCCTTTCCATTTATGGAAATAACTCCCTAAATTTCTCCTGTTTCTAGGGTTAACTTGCTTCAGCTGAATAGGACAAAATGGAAAGAGACTTCAGGACAACTATACCTCAAAACACACTGGACTCCTTGAAGGAGGAGGAGGCAGCTTCATGCAAGGCAAGTCTGACATGGCAGAATGCTTCCTCACTTTCTTGGACACAGATAACAGTTCACTGGAGAAAATAGTTTACATTACCCTCCAAAACTACAGGCCTGCACCACAATTTTTGCAGTACAATAACTGAAATAATAATAATAATAATAATAATAATAATAATAATAATAATAATAATAATAATAATGGTGTGAAACAAAGGAGAGCCTTTATTAAGACAGCAAGGGACAGTTTTTTACTGTGAGGTTGTTTATCTCTGTGCAAAGGGAGGTTGGTGAGGTTGTGTCATTTGCACAGCTTCCAGTGGAGAACTGGGAGATTTTGAAATCATTGATTCAGTCTTCAAAAAAGGCAAATACAGTAAAAAGGCATTATGTAGTAAAATGACTACAGAAGTTCTAAGTCCTAAAGTATACACAGAAACCCTCTTCAAAAATCTTGTTGCAATAATTACCTGTATTTCCCCAAAGGTAAGGCAACATAGCTTCATATCTTCCCTGTTGTTTTTTTGGAGCAGAAAAGTCTGAAGATACTTTTTTTATTTTTTCCCTGAAGGAAAATGATGATAAATTCTGTACTTGGTGAAAATGTGGTAATTGTCTTTATCCAAAAGGTGAAAAATTCTTTAGCTACTTTCCTATATACTCTTACAGGGAGCTTCTGTATTGGGTACAAATAACTATCAAACTCATTTTTATCTTGCTGCTTGTGTACTTCAGCTCCCCAGCATTTGCAACTGTTTAAAAAAGTCTATGACCAGACCTACATAGGTATAGTACTGCTGACTCCCAGATTGCCACTTTACACCCATTTTGCACCTGTAAGAATGGTTATTTATGGTGCAACTGTAGTGATGACTGGGATTTAAGATGTTAACAAAGCTGGATGTCACATTTTTCCTATGGGGTCCAAAATCTTTATTGTATCTTGTGTGGGCTTATTTCTACTCTGATCAAAGCCTTAATGAAGGGCAAAAAAGAGACCAGAAATGCTCAGGGATGCACCAGCTTTGATAGCAGATCAGGGACCCAGCAGGCCATGGCAGCCTGCCCACTTTTAATGGGATGAATCTCATAGGAAATTTTGCATAAAATTCATTGTTAAAACAGTGCCAAGTCAGGTCCTTCAGCTAAAACAGAAGAATCAAAATATGGCTCTGCAGGAAGCTGAAAGGATGCTGCTGCTCTGTGACTGGAAGTAGCATGTGATGAGGTGGGGAGGTGAGAGGGTATTTTTAAGAAATTATTGTTAAAAATTCTGTGCATGACACAGCAGTGGAGAGAACTTGAGAAAGTTTGGGACAAAATGAGTAGCATACAGATGAAGCTGATAAACAGTTTCAGAGCTGGGAGCAGCACAGGAACATTTCTGGGATACGAAAGCATTTCAAATAAGTTTGCTTCTCTGGATTTTTTGGACTTAGAGGCTCTAATAAGTTGCAGTGCAGGTGACCTCCCTTTGCAGTGTGCTTTAGCTCTGGAACTTGTCCACCTTGTTGAGATGGAGCTGGTGCTTCTTGAATGCTGAAAGAGGAACTTCTACTCAGCCAAGTGAGCTGTGCTGTGGAGAATCAAATTGCTACTCCTGGAAGACACTTGTCTTCTTACTGATCCAAATTTTAAAGCGTCTTATAGAATTCACTCATCACCCTACATCTGTCCCCTTGTCAGATGGGCTTGATCAGTATTACTCGGTTCCTTTGTAGAGATTTAAAAGCTTCCCATTCTTCCTTTGAAATGTGGGAATAAATTGCATATTGGGTTTTGCAAAGTGAGTGAACAGCCCCTTTCAACTAGTCAGCAAAAAGTTTCAATAGAGGAATTAAGGCCGATGGAGAAGGAAATGTGATTCTGGGCTTAAAAGTTGTTTTTGGTGCAGACTTCTAGAAACCTAGTGCATACATTCATTGTGTGGGTAATAATGGAAAAGAAATGTCTTAAACAAATACCTTTTGTAGGATAAGTTTAATGCCACAATCATATTACTTGGATTGACTGCAGAAATGGGAATGCAAATGATAAACCTTTCCCAACAACACTAATCTGAGAGGAGCTCTCTGGGAAGAATAGCTTCTGAAATATTGTACACAATGAAATATTGTGTCTTTCCCTACCCCCAAGGTTGAGGTCTTCTTCTCCTCTTCAGGCAAGTGGCACTAGTCGGATTACAGTGCAATCATAACAACTAAAGATGGAAAAAGCTATTGGCCCATTTAATCTCTTCCCCTGCCAGTAGAGGATTACTCCTGAAGCATGTTCTTCAATACCTTGTCCAATGCTGGGTGACTGGAGCAATAGGTTTCCATAATTTTTTAGGGAGATTATCTTTTAGATAAGACCTTAATGACCTATGTCCTAACTACTCTGCACAAATCCTCCAAGCTGGATTCCTCAAAGTTAGGCTTAAATACAGCTGTGTGCATGCATTTGCCTGTATTTTGTTCTTAAAATCAAGCTTAGGGCTGTCACAGTGAATTTGATTGAAGTTGTTAACAGCTCTTTGTCAGAACTCCCTTCACTCCCACAACTGTTACACGTAAAGTAACTATTTGGCCATATGGTTCCAATCCATGTGTTAGTACATATTGGAGGTTCTTCTGCAAGGGTTTAGTCTGTAAAGAAATTCAAGATATTTAAAAATTCAAACATCCATTAATGAGAAGTTTAGTTAAAATTTTCTTTTCAGTCCCTATGGTGTAGTTTGCTCTTTTAAAGAGCTGTAGATAAAGTTGGGCTTATTTACTGATTTATTCATTGCTTTTTTATTATTTGGTCTATGTAGTCATCATTTTCTGTGTTAAGAGTTGTTTAGTTATTTGTCAGAGACTCATATTTTGCTTACCGAATTATAATTGTGAAGTTGTACTTAACATATTTTGTTTTCCTACTCCTTTACTGCATTTCTTCTACATTATTTTTACTGTTGTACATGCATTCTTGTATGTACAGGAATACATATAGGGCAGTAAATTTTCTTACTTCTTTACTGTATTTTAAAGCAACTGCCAGGACAACTCCAAAATTTGCTATAAGTTTTGCTAGAAATTTGCTTTACTTTGAACAAGAAGAGAATAAAAACATAAGCAATAATATAACACAATGTAATAATGGTTTCTTTCTTCCCTAGTGAAGAGAGGTCAGTTCTTTCCCCCTTCCTCAGGCAAAGGAGCAGTCAGATTATTAGCAAATTCTAATAATGAAAACAGGGGGGAAAATGTAAATTTAGGTATGAACTGTCATGTATTTAAGCTTTAGACATGTAGGATCAAGATGTAAATTGATACTATACTGTTGAAGATTTGATGAAAGGAAAAGGTGTTAGGTACTCAGATTTAACAGGAATCTTTTTCATGTTGTTCATGTTTTTGCATCTGGATTTGTGGTTATTTATTAGAAAAGAGGACTGGCCCTTTTTGTTTCTGTAATAGAAATTATATTTAAAGGAGGATTAGATTGTGCAAACAGTTTCAGACAGACACCCTGCCAGAGAAGAAGGTCATACGGGATCACAGTAGAAGCATGTCAACAAACTGTGATGGTCTTGCATGTTGAGTGGCCAGACATCTGTGAGATGGAGTAAAAGGACAAAAAATGCAAGGTCAGTGGCAAGACGATTAGAAAAAATATTTCCTTTTTTTTCTGAAAGAAAATAGGAAAATACATGTAAGGATGAAAATGATTACAAAAACTCTCTATTCCTTAATTAAGGAGACTGTGTTTGTCCATTCTGGTTCTGGCTCATTAGTTTGTTTCTTTGACATTGCAGAACATTCATGAGCTTTATCTGATGATTCAGTAGTGGACAAATTTTCACCCAAGGATTCAGCAAATTTTTGTCAATAATTAATGAGAAAAATAAACAATTTTCCACCATTAAGCATCCATCTAATATGGACTTGCCCCTAAAAAGACATCCAAGGTGTAGCTGTGCAACGGCACAGAAATTTCAGGAAGCTGAAGTTTTTGTAATATCAAATGTGGCCATTTTCTAATACTGAAAAAAAGAATATTGGGAAAGGGGGTGCCAGCATTAGTCAGGACTGATTGATTTCATTACATGCAGCTAAGGCAGCTGAACACTTGTGTGCAGAAGCTCGACCTGCAGTAGTAAACACGCGGGAGCTCCCTTTGGCCCGGAGGGCAGCTGGCACGGCCCAGCCTGGCTCAAAACCACGCGGCTTTATTTCCATCGGCCCCCAGAAGAGAAACCTCGTCCCCTGCTGCTTATTGGCAGTGCTCCTCCATCTGCAGCAACCCTGAGCCGTGCCCAGAGCTTGTCAGGGAAAAATGAGACACTTGGCAGAGGTCAAAACTGTGCCAGGCACTCGCCAGCAGCGTCCCAGTGCTCGGGGCATCGCTGCTGGAGCATCTCTCCTTGCCCTGCTTCCCTTTCCCAAGCAGGCTGCAGTCCTACGTGCCCAGCCTCGTGTTAAGCTGCATGTGAACAATTTTATTGATTGCAAAACTATTAGCGAACAATTTTTCTTTAATTTTAATTTTTTTTTAAGCTGTGACAACTTTAGAGGTATTCCTGATATATTCCATAGTAGGTGAAAGACTGGGATTCTGGAGAGAGCCAGCAAAGTGTATAAATGATGCAAGAGATGCTTTGCTTGGGATACATAAATAGAAGGAGAAATTCAATGAAAAAACACATTGAAGCAAAAGAACCCTGGACCTAGTTTCTCTATTCCTCAATTGTATCTTCCAAGAGGAAATGTTCCCAAGAATGTTAATACTTTTTCTCAGATCTGCTGAAAATACTTAGCAGGTCTGATTAAGTCAAGGATAAATTTAGTTATCCCCATAGCTGGTTTGATCTCAATTGCATTTTTGATTGCTTGGTTGTAATTGCCATTTTTATTTTATTGTATCTAATAGGTGCAAAGTTTCTTTTAATTTAGTGGTATCTAACTTACCTTGCAGTGTGTTTTGGTTCTAAGCAATTTCAGTCTTAAGCATACTTAATTCCCTTCTGAGATCCTCCATCACTAACA